GCAATGCGATTCTACATCGCTGCCTGTTTAGCCCCGCCCACCAATTCTACATCACTGCCTGTTTAGCCTTGTGCAGTGCCAAGTTGTGGAAAAAAAAACAGTCTTTGCATTGTCTAAATTATGTTTTTTGATGTAAAAATCTTGACAACATTATAAGTGGACCTCAGAGAACAGTACAAAATAAAAAAAACAAAGGCAGTTCATGTCCCCTTTAAATATTTGTGTTTAAAATTCATTTAAGAAACAGACTTAAGCCGGTTGCACACCAGATGAGAAGCACAGTGCCACGTGTTTAAAATCTGAACACATTGGCTGCGTCCGAAAGCCTAGGCAGCTGACTTGCTGCCTCGCTGCCTTATGAGGCAATGACTTTGCAGGCAGTGAGTTTAAAGCTTGCAGGCTTCCGTACACCGGCGCCCGCAGCGTTTTCTGGGATTTCTAACGGCTCGATTCTCTCAAGTCTGCACTCGATGCATCCTCGATATCAAGAACACATCCGGGCACTTTCATGCGTCCTCTGTACTTGCGTTCTTGAGTATTGGAATTGAACATTGACGGTTAATGATGACGTAGAGCGAGAACACAAGGATGCAAGATCGCTGAAGAACGCATATTGAGAAATGGCAAAGTCCCTTTAAGGCAAGTCATGTCACTCGGCGGCCATCTTTGAAATGCCTCTCGGGCATGCAAGTGCAGCTCCTATCACTTTGTATGGGGAATCATCAAATTCTCCAAAACTGTTCACTAAGCTTATGATTAAATGTCATATTTGAAATCACCAATGAAATCTGACAACAACTGTGTCATAAATGTTGTTTCTTTTGCTCAAATAGCATTATAAAAAGCTTATTTTTCAGGATAGATCAGCCAGTGCGCATACGCAGTCCTGAGCGCACGTCTAAGAACGCTGACTGTTTCTATAGCAACAGGGACTTCTAACGGCAGCTGCAGTGACGCGCTGACTTTACCGATTAGCAATTGGCTCTTTTGCTCAGAAGGCGGGGCTTCCTGCGTTTGAGCGGCCATGTTAAGCGTTGCATTTTTCCTCTTTCAAAAGTATAAGACTGACACGTCTTGGGTATTCTATAGTCTTTGGAAACGGCCAGAGTAAATATGTTCCAAAACTGTGGACCACTCAGAAGAACCCGGAGGCGGGGCAAGTGTTTGTTTACAATAGCAAGTTGGCATGGCAACTGTTTTATTTGGCGGCAACATGCCAGAGGAGGCATTCAGCGCTGCGTTTTGTTGTTGTTGTTGTTTTTTTAATATGCCTCTTGTGTTTTTAGACGCAAAGACGAGTTCTGTGTGAATGACCCCTTAATAGCCTATCTAAAGGTATTTTCCATTTCAAGTAAATACATCTTGACTTAAGAATTTTTAGATTTAGGTTTTTGCAACAAAAAACAAAACACCGAGGAAGCCTTTTTTTGCAGTGTATTTCTTCATTATTTCAAATAGCACAGTCAATCTGCCGCGGGTTTTATAGACTACATGCAAATTCTTCCCAATCGAACTCTCGCATGCTCACATTCAGTCTGTTTTGCGGCACAATTATTCTACACGCGCCCCTGAGGCTCATGAAACCCGCGTCTTCATCATCTGGGAGTCACACACTCATCGAGAGCCGAATCACCCGAGACATCGACTCAAACGTCTCCGCCGATGGCAGGCAGCGCCATTCACAAAACCTCACAAAGAGCTCTATTGGCATGCTAAACATAGCTGTTTTCATCTGTCATTACGGCACGGCGCGGCGCGCGATGAGTCACAGCGCCGTCGAAGAGCCTGAGCAGCTCGTTAGCATTCACCCGAGGCCATTACAAACACCTCACGCGAGTTCACGAGGAGGAAACGCCTTCACTTGACAGTCGTTTTGCACGCATTTGAAAGTCACCAACTGTGATCCTGAAGAAAATTATAAAGGTTGCCTTGGCATTTTCATCTAGTTATTTTATTTTATTTCAGTTTAAAAAAAAATTACAAATATTTTATTTAGCTTCATTTCAGTTTAATTTTAGTATTTCTTAAACTTATTTTATTTCAGTTAGTTGCCAAAACATTTCTAATTTTCTTTTTCTTTTTTTTTTTTAAGTTTACATGTTTTATGCAGCCCACTAGTTATGTTTAATTTACAAAAAAATATATTTTTAACCTAATTATATGGTAGTTTAACAGTATTAATGTTGTCGAATTAATCAGTTATGAAGCAAAATTAGGCCTCATTTCAGCTGTAAAGCCGCTCTTAAAAAGACAGAAGTGTGTCATTATTCAGCTTAATTCGGTTCAGATTTTGCTCAAATGCTAGTGTCAGTGCAATCGATAATCATACTGAATATGAATCATCTTTTAAACTCCATATGGCACAAGGGTGAGTAAATGGCAACAGAATTTTTATTCCAACCTTTAAACAAACTGCAAACGGCACGCTGAAGGTCGCTGGAGTGGCTTTTCCTCACGAGAGTTTCACATTATTATTAAGCACACCAAACACGTCGCGCCGCGTATGATTTCTTTTATCTTTCGCCAGGAAAATTCTTTTATTTTCCTTTAAGGTTGAGGTACTCAAATAAGTAAAACTAATTGAACTAAAATTAATAAATAAAAAACAATAAACACTATGTAAATATAAAAAAAAAAAAAACAGCAAAAACAAAATTACTAAAACTAAATAACAAAAATGTAAGTAAAAACAGAACATATAAATATAAAAAAATAAAATACTAAGTGCTACAGTAACTAAAACTAAATAAACTAACATTAATAAATAATAAATTACTAAAACGTTAAAGTAAAAACAAAATAATATATAATATTATATATTATTTATTTAGAATTTTACTTGATACATGTCAAAATCTGGTGAAACATCTGGTGAAACATGAATCATTTACGGGCGTATAAGAAGTAATATATATAGAAGTAAGAAGTAAATATATATATTTATTTCAAGTTATTTAACATAAATCCATTACGTTTTACGATATTTTAACATTTTAAGATATTTCTTAATTAACTGTATTAAATTATCACCTATAATCTAAATATTTATGATTTATTAACTAGATTGTTAATTTTTTAATTATTAATAATAATGTAATAAATTCATAATTAAGAATATATCATTTTTAATTAAGTATATATAATTAAATAATGATAGTAAATTATTTACATTATGAACTAGACATTATTTATGAACTAAACTTTACGAGGCATATTAAAAGTCTGGCTATGTGAGGTATGTGAAAACAAAATGATCATCTATAATGAAAATGTTTACAAAATAAATACGTAAAAAAAAAATATTTTGATTGAAGCCAAAAATATGCGTGAATGTTTTGCATCATGTGAATGAAACCAAAAGAGCAAAATAAACCGAATGCTAATCATCTTTGGAAAGTGTTTCATCTAAATCCATTCGGTGGGTTTTTCCTCGAAGAAAAGCCTCACAACACTGAAGCCCAAAGCTGAATTTAAAGCAGGACACGCGGCAGCGGGACAGATCACAGTGAGATTACTGACCACAACACAACCACAGCACTGAGACAGACAGTAAACAGCACACTATCACAATGTTTCTGCAGTATTCAGTCTGTACTGCACACAGCACACACATTTACTGTATACATACTACATTACCCAGACGACCTGCTACATTTGCTGAAGTTTGTAGCAAACAACAAAGCATACTACATCTGTCCAACAATGCAATGCTACTGACTTGACCATCCATCCACTTTCATAAAGAAACTGAAAAATAACAATTATTCCTGAGACTATAACCTGATTTTGCCTGTTGAATAAATCATGGAAACTAGTAAGTGTGCGTACATGCAGCATACTAGCATTTGAAGCACTTATTATAGCATGCATTGTGTTTTATTTGCACTGTGATGAGAATCATACAGGGAAAATATAAATACATTTCGCTCTTTCAAAAGCCCTCCAAAACAAATCGATCGCTAGTGAAATATCTGCTATACTGTACAGTTTTTTTTATTTATGCTGTGCCTGTTGAATAAATCATGGAAACTAGTAAGTGTGCGTACATGCAGCATACTAGCATTTGAAGCACTTATTATAGCATGCATTGTGTTTTATTTGCACTGTGATGAGAATCGTACAGGGAAAATATAAATACATTTCACTCTTTCAAAAGCCCTCCAAAACAAATCG